TTGCGAGACTATGCATTTAACTAAATTGAATAACCAAACTCTTATGCATTTGCGATATTATGCATTCGACTAATATGAATAACTAAAACTCTTATGCATTTGCGAGACTATGCATTTGACTAAAATGAATGAATAAACACTTATGCATTTGCGAGACTATGCATTTAACTAAATTGAATAACTCAAAACTCTTATGCATTTGCGAGATTAGGCATTAACTAATATGAATGAATAAACACTTATGCATTTGACTAAAATGAATGAATAAACACTTATGCATTTGCGAGACTATGCATTTGACTAAGATGAATGAATAAACACTTATGCATTTGCGAGAGTTACTTATTTAACGAACTGAATGACTAAAAACCCTCCTAACAGTCGTAACCTCTACGTTTCCACCAGACATCTCATTAGTTCGCCCATGTATCGATCACATTCGGCGACTGGCCGAGTTTGAAAACAAGCATGACACACTTCATATGGCGGTAATATAGCACTTATTATACCCAAGAGGCGAAAGTATATGTCAATAGATTCATCGGCAAGTATAAAATCCTCTTAACGGAATGTTTGATACAATGGTGGGTGAGGCGTATGTGTGGGAGGGCGAATCTGGCTCTGTTTTAATTAATGCTTCGGCGAGGCTCTATGACAAAGGAACTGGTTTGACAAGATTTTCTCCCTCTGTGTACGGTCGATTCGTAATGAGGATTTCGAGAGGTTGAGTTTGCCTCGACGAGTCTATTGATCGCCTATGTGATGAGCGGAACAAGGGAAAGGCACGGAAAACAACCTCTCTCTTATAACCGACGGACTCTTAATCACTCGATGGGCCACGATTCCTCATGGCCAGCTGATGGTTCATGTAGTTGATAGTCAGTCTTCCGATAATTGTGTAGGGTTGATATGATGGTAAGGACGAAATAGATAGTCTCAAAGGGGGTGGGCGTCGACGCGAGCACGTGTGAGCCTACGTGAGGGAAGTTGTGGGTACGAACGACTTTCGGAGAAGGGCCCCCTTTGTCGCGGCTGCGGTGATCGGCTGCTTCAGACTCCTCCCTCGGCGGAGCCCGTACGAAGATTGACGGCGCGGCTGCGCTCGTTTGCGTGGTCAGGCGAGCACGTGTGTGGTGGCGGCAAGGGAGCTGGCTCGTTCACTCGTGCGCGGCAGGCGAGCACGTGTGTGGTGGCGGCAAGGGAGCTGGCTCGTTCACTCGTGCGCGGCAGGCGAGCACCTCGGCGATGCACGTCAAGGCGACGCATGTCGCCACCCCACGAGCCTCGTCCTTCTGGATGACGAGAGCTTCTTCGTTGGCGGCGACGAGGAGAGATGGCTGTCGCCCTGGAGATCTCTGGTGGGGCCTTAGCCCGGAGACGAGATGAGATGTAGGCCGGAGCTCGTGAAGATCTGTGGTGGAGCCGAAGCCCTGGCGACGAGATGGGGCTCAGAGCCCTGGCGATCTGCTTTGAATGGATTTTCCTTCGGTTTATATCTGGAAATTCCACTCAGTTTCCCGAGTTGTTCAAAGGCTGTCATAAAACATCCCTGTGGGTGTGAACCATTTGCGTCCGTGTGTGTGTCGTGTGGGTGTCCGTCCGTGTGTTTATTAGCTTTGAAGACACAGCTGTGTGTCGTTCTGGAAGAAAGGGGTGGGGGGGGGGGCCTCGTGACGGCGCCACCTGAGTTATCCATTACCAGACCGATGATTCGCGTTCGCCTCGAGTTATATATAAAAAAAATATTCGAATCTATGTTTTTGTTACTGAATAATATTTGTCGCGAAAACCTACGCGTTAAGCGAGCTTAATTATTCCCTCCCTTGCTCGGGGATCATATCTTTTGTCTCACACAGCTTAAGTTGTTTTTGGTTTGGAAGTTGAAATGCGACTTATTTCCATTATGCCCAAGTTATGCCGAAACCGTGTTCACGATGTTTCATCGTGACCCGATCTCTCCTGGAAATGTTATTTCCTCGTGTGTGCAATTTTTGCTGTCCATGTTGTGGGGAGACAAAGACGGTTGTTTCCACGGTGGTAGAACCCGGCGCATGCGCTTATTTATTTATTTCTGAAGACGTGTTAATTTCCTTTGAGCCATTGCCCGGGAGTTTTATTGGCTTTGTTGTGTGAGTGTAGAGATCCTCTCGGGAAGACAAAGGCGGCCGTGTTGCTCGCTTCCCATGGGTGTTGTGTTTGGTTAATTTTGAGAGCCTTCTCCGCCCTTGATTTCTCTTCTACTTTAATTCCGTACTTATTATTTGACTTCTTGTGATTATTTAATTTGATATCCCGGCTAGGAATTTTGTTTTGGAGCGAAATAGATGCCATAATTATTCTTTGATGCTTCGGCCCGGCCGTGTAGATATTCTTTAAAGGTAAATAATGTCAGTATTTAATTAACAATGATGGGTCGCGATTCTGGTGCAGACTGTAGTCTGGTTTTCAATTGGAGTGAGGATGGATACTGTTTGCTTAATCTTCATGGCTAAGTTGGTAACTTTGTGTATTTAACATGGTTCAAAGACCCGTCTGTGTTTTCTGTCGTCAATGCTGTTTCTTTGTTAAGAATATAATTATCTCTTCCTCCGTGGTGCCTGGTTCTGTGGGGTTTTTTAACAAAAGGATGTCCTGCTGACCCCCCCCCCGCCTGCAATTCCCCCCTCCCTTGTTCCTCTTGTGTGAATTTAGGGGAGTTTTTATTACCTTATTGCCCCCTTTCATGTCCTCTAGTCTTTTGATATGAGGTATGCGCAGCTGTGGGAGTGTGGGGGCGTGTTTGTTCCCACGTTGCCGCGTGTCTATTAAAAAAAACGATATTATCTATGTTGGCAGAATAATTCTTAAAAAAAATAATATTAAAAAAAATAAAAAGGGGGCATATACACAACAGATCCCAGAGCCCCCAGCAGCCCCTCCCCTCTCATGGCACTACACATGTGTTCAGTACAAGCCACCTGTGGACTGGTTTAGTGTACAATGTCTCAACAACAGTCCGGCTTGCTTCAACTGATGTTCATCGGCAAGGTCCATTTCAAGTCTCAGTTCGACAAAATGTATACGTAATACAAAATGATAATTAGTGTTCTTGAGGAGAATGTATCTCCTATACGTAACTTGTAAGTGGCATACCTTAACTGATGAATGATCCGACTATGCTCCCGATTTCAAAGACAATGAGTTGTCCCAGTCAGATGCGTCCTGATTCACAAAAATACCCGTTGACCCGTATCACAAAAATAACAGCTCTCACGTGAGTTTTTGTACAGGTTACCACCAAAACAGATACTTTGTCCTGACATCACATATTCCATGTTTGACATTAATACACAAAATGTTGTATGTACGTACAAAATCCGACAGGTATTCTTTCAATAATGATTCAAAATAATCAAAGGGCACATTGGCAACATTTTATTACTATACCGAAATGTACTGCGTCACGTTGCAATGTATTTACAAGTTGATCTCTGACTCGATGAGGCCTATACGTGCAGCACTCTCGTAGAGGGAAGCCAAGTAGTAGTACATTCTCTATTTGTTGCAGAGGTTCAAGGTTCAAATCCGACTGGCATATCATCGCCCCCGACTTACAAACTCCTATCCACATGCAGGCCAGTGAACGGTCACCTTGTGGCACACAGGGGCAGATGCCCATTATGGGCACCCATCGAGTGTCTAAGATGAGATATGATACAAAACACTTGAGTCACTCCTGGTTAGAGATCGCCCCAACCCACAGGTTCACAAATACTGGCCACGCTTACACTGCAGTTTGAACCTAAAAATTGAGTGTTCAACTTCACATTATATTCATTAGAAAGGCCTGTGACAAAGGTGCATCCATTGGAGCTTAATTGTCTCAAGCTTGCACATCTACCTGGACTCCATTTGACTTTGTATTGTCTAAGAAGTCCACCCACACCTCCACATCCACAAACTCCTGGGAGTTGCCTCGCTCTGCCTCACAGTCAGAATTTAGTTCCTGCTTCACACTGCCTCCATCTATGTGAAGGTTCGATTTTGGAGTTGAATCTTCAAATTTAATCTTCACTTCTACGCTCTTCAATGTTACTTCTTCACATTTCATTTTCGCCTCTTCATATTTCACCTTGATACCTTTCCAAGTGTCCAGGCTGGGATTGTCTTCTGGTTCTTGTTTCATGAACAATGGGGTCATTGCAGCACTTTGACTTTCACAAGCTGATTTCAGATTACACTTCTTGTGGATTTTCTGATGCGTGTGTGTTCTCTGGTGTTTTTTAAGATCTGATGAATGTGCAAACGCTTTCCCACAAACACTGCACTTGAAGAGTTCCTTTCCTGTGTGTGTGCTCTGGTGTTGTTTAAGAGTAGATGAATCTAAAAATGTCTTCCCACACACACTGCACTTGAAGGGTTTATCTCCTGTGTGTGTTCTCTGGTGTCGTCGAAGAGCAGATGAATCTGAAAACGCCTTCTCACACACACTGCACTTGAAGGGTTTATCTCCTGTGTGTATTCTCTGGTGGGACTGAAGATTTGATGACTTTGCAAACGCCTTCCCAAACAGAGTGCACTTAAAAGGTTTCTCTCCTGTGTGTGTTCTCTGGTGTTGTTTAAGAGTAGATGAATAAAAAAATGCCTTCCCACACACACTGCACTTGAAGGGTTGATCTCCTGTGTGTATTATCTGGTGGGCCTGAAGATATGATGACTTTGCAAATGCCTTCCCACACAGAGTGCACTTGAAGGGTTTCTCTCCTGTGTGTGTTCTCTGGTGTCTTTGAAGATGTGATGACTGTGCAAACGCCTTCCCACACACAATGCACTTGAAATGTTTATCTCCTGTGTGTGTTCTCTGGTGTCTTTGAAGATGTGGTGACTGTGCAAACACCTTCTCACACACAGTGCACTTGAAAGGTTTCTTTCCTGTGTGTGTTCTCTGGTGTGATTTAAGAATGGATGACCGTGCAAATGCCTTCTCACACACAGTGCACTTAAAAGGTTTCTCTCCTGTGTGTTCTCTGGTGTTGTTTAAGAGAAGATGAATCAAAAAATGCCTTCCCACACACACTGCACTTGAAGGGCTTATCTCCTGTGTGTGTTCTCTGGTGGGTTTGAAGATTTGATGACTTTGCAAACGCCTTCTCGCACAGAGTGCACTTAAAAAGTTTCTCTCCTGTGTGTGTTCTCTGGTGTGATTTAAGAATGGATGACCGTGCAAATGCCTTCTCACACACAGTGCACTTAAAAGGTTTCTCTCCTGTGTGTGTTCTCTGGTGGGTCTGAAGATTTGATGACTTTGCAAATGCCTTCTCACACACAGTGCACTTGAAAGGTTTCTCTCCTGTGTGTGTTCTCTGGTGTTGTTTAACAGTAGATGAATCTGAAAATGCCTTCTCACACACACTGCACTTGAAGGTCATCTCTCCTGTGTGTGTTCTCTAGTGCTGTGTCAAGTTTCCAGTATGATCAGTGATGTTTGCAATCTGATCGCATTGTTTCTTTCTTGTACCGAGCTGCGCTGAGTGCCTCTGCTCCATCAGACCAATTCTGCAGAGGAAGCGCAAATGCAGATAGAACAAAATATATCCACACCATCTACGTCAGTATCGAGGCACAGAGGAATGCATATATACACAGTCACACATGACTTACACATCTATACTTATTCATATTTTCATGATATCGTGAAAGAGATTCCCCGATTCATCACACGGGCTGTTAAGGCACACAATGAGAGGGCAAATGTCATAAATATGCCTGGACACCCTAGTGTCTTCAAAATGAATGTTTACAAAAAACTCCAAGCACACAATTTTGGTTGTCTAGCTACGACAGGAATATTTAAGAAAAATGTGCTAACATAGCAAAGGCTGTTGAAAAGAATATTATTTGTACTATGCAGAAATGTATAAATAAATGTTCATTTGCAACTTAGAGTTGTGAAGCCAGGCTCAAATGAGCTTGAATGCGAGGATGAACAGATTTAACTTCAGCTGCATATGTGCTGTGTTAATTTCCTGTTTCCATTCTTATAAAAATTTCCAGAGCAGAACTAAAATAAACTATTATTATGATTTAACCTCCATGTTCAATCGAGTCAATATACTTGACAGTAAATACAAACTTTACATGTTCATACACTTGCATGGTAAAAAGGTGGTTACATTTTGACTTAAAACTTTCGTGACTGCAGGAATTAATATTCTTTGGTTATTTCGGTAAAGCCACGTAGATAGAAAATAATAATACAAATAAAGTGAATAGAAATAAAGATAAAACGACAAATGTAGACTGTAGCCTAGTTCTTAACCTCGGTGAGCGTACTGCCAGTCTATAATGTAGACTGCAGCCTGGTTCTTAACCTCGGTGAGTGTCCTGGCAGTCTACAATTTAGACTATAGCCTGGTTTTTCGACTAGAACTTGGCGATGGACTAGACCTTGGCGATGGACACTCACAGCTTGGTATGGAGAAAAAGTCCAGGCAGCTTCCACATAGTGTTCCAGAGCCTAATGAAAGAAAGCTGCTAGACCAATTTGAAGTGAGACTTTGGATGCCAAACCAGAGCTGGTCGTGAACACATTAACCAGGTATAGGAGCTCCTCCACCACGTGTAGAACTACCTGATTATTCATGGAGAGCCAGAGGTCGCAAACGGGTTTTGATTCCTTACCCGTACCCGGCCGCACCAGGGTCGCAAACGGGTACCCTACCCAATACCCGGCCGGGTACGGGTAGCTGGGTATCAGGTAGGGTACGGGTATCGGGTACTCGATTGCGACCTCTGGGATGAAGCCATGTTTCAGGTGCGGGTGGGTTGATTCTAGGAACTTGAATTGTGAGAGAAGACAAGACGTTGGAAAATGAGTGACAAACGGTTACTCACCAGTGACTCACGGCCTTCTCAGTCATTGGTTGGGGTGAGTCACGTGCGGCTACCCGTACCCGGCCGCACCAGGGTCGCAAACGGGTACCCGTACCCGGCCGGGTACGGGTAGCCAGGTATCGGGAAGGGTACGGGTATCGGGTACCCGATTGCGACCTCTGTAGAGAGCTGAGCAGGTGCAGTGTTGTATCACATTAAATTCTCAGGGAGGTGTTCATATGACTTTACCAAAAGACCCAAAGAATATTAATTCCTGCAGTCACGAAAGCTTTAAGTTAAGATTTTCCCAGGGAGGTGATCTATTTTTGTAGAACATATGCAAGGCCCAATTTCGTCATGGAATTCTCCAGGTACAGAACAAGATTCTCCAACTCAAAATCAACGAGTAGCCATGACCAGATCATCAACATGCGTAACATGGTTGACCAGCAGGGGACAAATAGCGTATCATTGTTACTGTATGGAATGCAATTTTTTATAGGGCCACACGTAGAGTACACTTGTGGAGTACACTCACAGAATTTATTTCTTAGGGTCCTTCGATTTTTTCCCCTCCACATTTAGTAACATGCATTTAGATTATTTGGCTGCTATAATCTTCCACGTTTAAAGCCATTTCGTTGAGCTATCATCTATGGCCAGGTGGCTTCTGACAAAAGATCTAACAGCTCTGTGAGCCTTGGTTGGTAATATAAAAATAGTTTACACCATTGGAACCTCATTTGCCAGTAAAAAATATAATTGTTTTTTTACCCTTTTATCTGGCAACAAAACTGACACCTTCTTTACGAGGAGTCATGTTTGCATAGACCACAATACCTGCAGTCATAATGAAAAAAAAAACATAACTCTGATAATGTATGCACTGTCCTTGACGTTGATTGGTCCACACCCGAGACAGCTTTCCTTAGAGCCTAGTCAGAGTATGTTTTTGTTTGCATTATGACTGCAGGTATTGTGGTCTATACAAACATGACTCCTCGTAAAGAAGGTGTCAGTTTTGTTGCCAGATAAAAGGGTAAAAAAACAATTATCATAAAAATAGTTGTTCATCGGTCTAAAGGGTGCATCAGCAAAACCAACTCGGCAGAACGCTCCTGAATTAGAGTGCTGAGACTCATTGTGGTCATGTAATCGAGTGTGCACCATGGTGGCTGGGAGATGGTAACTGCCTCTCATGGATTACAGGAGCTGGTGGGTTCGATCGCGATCCCTCCTGTATGTTTGGAGTTTGCGTGTCTCTCTCTCTCCCCGTGGTCGCGTGGATTTTCCTCCGGATCCTCAGGGTTTTCCCCTCCACGTTTAGAGTCAACATCACCACGCGTTTAGAGTATTTGACCGACAGACATTTCCACACGTTGATAAGCCACTTTGTTCTGGACTGGTCGCTTCTGAAAACAAGAGCGGTATAGCAGCTGAAGTGGGCTTGGCCTGGTAGGATAAAAAAAAACTGTAGAAATATTTAAAAGAAACACATTTCAAAGTAGTGAGCCAGATGAAGACAAATTAAACTTGAGCAGAGAATTAAAGCAAATGCAATCAGGCGAGGGCAGGAGGCAAGGCCCCGCATGGCTAGGCCCCGCGTTGTAATGTTCCAACCTGGACATCGATTCCAGACTCGCTGCTACTCAATTGATATCCCTACGAGAGAGACGGAGCGAGGCTCTGCCTGAGTAAACAACAACAACAACCACCACAACAACCACCACCACGATGTCAACTTCTCACCTCGGATCTGTGAGCGCGCGCTCACGGTGCAGCAACTTCCGGATATATCGTGACGTCACGCGGCAGCAGGAGGTGACATGACGTCACGCGGCAGCAGAAGGTGACATGACGTCACTAGCGGGGTTCATCACACAATCCCCTCACCCAACGAGCGGCGGTGTAATTGAATAAATTATGTTAATGAGCCGGGCCCACGTGGGGTGATTGGGCTTGGCTGCTGAACCCGTCGCAATGAAATAGCGACGGTTTTTATGAATAAATTATGTTAATGAACCGCCAGTGACTGGGCGTAGCTTTTCCCAAAAAATAATTTTTACTGGAACGGAAATCGACAGTGACCAACTAGACGTGACGTCACGCTCAAAAGCGCGGTCGAGGGGGGGCTGGGGGGTTGAATACCTTGGTGACATGACGTCACTAGCGGTGTACAGCTCTCCCTGGCGTCTCACGCCGACAGGTTAATGAGTGGTGACGTCAGAGAGCGAGGTCAGGGTGAGAGTTTAAGTTTATTTAGATTACATTTCTATTGTTGCCTCTGTTGAACAGAGACCCCTTGGGTGTGTGAGCTCAACAACAACGTGAACATTATTGTGTGTACACAGTGTGCGGCATCACAATATCATCCCTGGGGCCCGGCCCAGGGGTTGTGTTGGCCAACAAGCACCTTGTAGCCGGGTGACCCACGTATCCCCGTCTGGCCCAGCCTGAAATGGCTACGTGGCACCCTCCAGTGCGCCCGCCATCTGCAGAACGAAGGGTGAGGGGTGGGTATGAGGCCAGTATGCCAGGGAGGGAGATGGTCTCAGAAGGGTCTTGATCTTGGCGATGGACACTCACAGCTCTGTATGCAGCAAAAGTCCAGGCAGCTTCCACAGTGTTACAGTCTAATAAAAGAATGCTGCTCGACACATGAACCAGGTATGGGAACTTATCCGCCACTTGTAGAACTGCTTGACTATTAATGGAGAGTTGAGCAGGTGCAGTGTTGTATGACATGGATTCCCAAGCAGGTGATTTATTTTTGTGGAACATATGCAAGGCCCCATTTCATGATGGAATTATCCAGGCATCAGAACAAGATTCCCTAACTCCATCTCATTGAGTAGCCATTACCAGATCAGCAGATGCAACAGGGCTGACCAGCAGGGAATGATCCCTTAACGATAAACAGTCATCGATAAGCGTATTATTGTAACCGCAACGAATGCAATTTATTTATACGGCCATTGTGAGCTTCTCAAACTACATAATTATTGAAGATGCTATGTAATGTAATGCATTGGGCCAGAGTGAATTTCTGTCACAAGCCGAGTTGAACAGGAAATGGTTCCAACTCCTGGTCACGCAGCTTTAGATGGGCCTGCCCAAAATCATAAAAATCCTCAACGAATGTGAGCAGAGGCAGAGACATCGAAATCAAGCAACCCAAAGCACCAAGCCTATTTAGGGTACCATAGGCCTGCTGTACTCGATCGACAGAAAATACAGCCGCCCCTTGAATATCGTAGGTTACGTTCTTGGAAAATGCCGCGCGACAGCTAAAAACGCGATATTCAATACTTAAGCCTTACCCAAGTAATGGCGTTAGGTAAACGTCAACTAAAATTTACATCACAATTGAAATACGTACTGTATTCCAAATCAACTAAAAATTTTACAATTGAAATAAACATTGGGAAACCGTGTCTCATGCTTTTGGTTACAGGTCTACCCAACACTTATGGTCACACATGCTGTCTGCTTCTACTCGACCTTGTCCGAAAAGTCCTCCCAAAACTCCACATCCACAAATGGATGTGATTTGTCTCGGGCTCCATTAGTGACCTGGAAGTCAAACCCTGGAGCCTTCACAGGTCACCTTCACGAATGGTGACGTTTCCCAGCTGCCATCTTTATTGGGTCCTTGCATCACAAATGATGGGCTTATGGAACTTCAAATTTCACACGTCAATCTCAGACTCTGCTCCTTGTAGACCTCCTTACGCGTGTTTCAGTTTCAAAAAAATTCAAAAGGTCTTCCAAGTATACTTAAAGTGGTTTTAAATGTGTTCCCTGGCAGTTGTGAAGATTTGATTACTGTGTAAATGCATTCCAAGACAGTGCAGTCGTTAGAATCCGTGGAGGCGAGTTCTGCTCTTTGCAACATCACAAGCCAGAGAGGGGGAGGCCCTGACGTAACCCACTCGTTAATTTGAGGTGACGTCTTCAGAGGGAGCTTCTACATATTTAAGTAAACATGTGGTAAACAAGGTGGGATATCAATGCAGACAGATATATCTAAAGTTGTATTTAAATAGAAGTTAAAATTCAATAAAACCTAGGCTAGAATACAAATCTGTAACAAAAATCCACGATGCCTTCAAATGTGCTCTTTAAAGTACCTCCTTGCGAAAAAACAGATCGGCAGACATCTTTCATTGAACGTTCTCTACACGAAACAAAGGAATGTTTTACACAAACTATAAATACCACGGCCTTTTAGGAATGCATGTGTAATGGGTTCCGGAGACACTTGTAGAGGTATCTTCTTTATTACAATACAACACTCCAACAGTCCTGATACTCTGTTACAGCCTAGGTACACAGCCTAGATACACTACTCTGGCTACGCTCTGGGGTCCTCCGGCTGCAATTACCCTAGGGGAAGCTAATTGACCCGAACCAGCCAAGGTGCGGGTCTGGACTCTGGCTTCCTCGGAACTCGCCCTTACAAGGACGTAGAGCCGGGAGTCCCAGAGTCCCACCACTGGCCCTCACAGCGTCCCGGCCCTTACAAGGACAAGCGGGACGAGGGGGTCCAGGGTCCTAAGCTGGCTGGTCTTGGGTCTTGAGCTGCAACTGGCCCCGATCAGCCAGGGAGCTGCCCTTTTATGCCTCGTCCCCAACGAGGGGTGGGGTTGTGTGTGCCCCCAGATATCCCACAGAGCACGCACAGCCCCCCCCCCCCCCGTTGGTGGCGCCAAGGGGCTTAACTGTTTGGGGTGCCTGGGATCCTAGCGCCTGGCGCCGAGGGCTTATCTGCCTAGGATCCCAGAGCCCCCAGCAGCCCCTCCCCTCTTATGGCACTACACATGTGTTCAGTACAAGCCACCTGTGGACTGGTTTTGGTGTACAATGTCGCAACAACAGTCCGGCTTGCTTCAACTGATGTTCATCGGCAAGGTCCATTTCAAGTCTCAGTTCGACAAAATGTATACGTAATACAAAATGATAATTAGTGTTCTTGTAGAAAATGTATCTCCTATACGTAACTTGTAAGTGGCATACCTTAACTGATGAATGATCCAACTATGCTCCCGATTTCAAAGACAATGAGTTGCCCCAGTCAGATGCGTCCTGATTCACAAAAATACCCGTTGACCCGTATCACAAAAATAACAGCTCTCACGTGAGTTTTTGTACAGGTTACCACCAAAACAGATACTTTGTCCTGACATCACATATTCCATGTTTGACATTAATACACAAAACGTTGTATTTACGTACAAAATCAGACAGGTATTCTTTCAATTATGATTCAAAATAATCAAAGGGCACATTGGCAACATTTTATTACTATACTGAAATGTACTGCGTCACGTTGCAATGTATTTACAAGTTGATCTCTGACTCGATGAGGCCTATACGTGCAGCACTCTCAGAGGGAAGCCAAGTAGTAGTACATTCTCTATTTGTTGCAGAGGTTCAAAGTTCAAATCCGACTGGCATATCAATCATCGCCCTCGACTTACAAACTCCTATCCACATGCAGGCCAGTGAACGGTCACCTTGTGGCACACAGGGGCAGATGCCCATTATGGGCACCCATCGAGTGTCTAAGATGAGATATGATACAAAACACGTGAGTCACTCCTGGTTAGAGATCGCCCCAACCCACAGGTTCACAAATACTGGCCACGCTTACACTGCAGTTTGAACCTAGAAATTGAGTGTTCAACTTCACATTATATTAATTAGAAAGGCCTGTGACAAAGGTGCATCCATTGGAGCTTAATTGTCTGAAGCTTGCACATCTACCTGGTCTCCATTTGACTTTGTATTGTCTAAGAAGTCCACCCACACCTCCACATCCACAAACTCCTGGGAGTTGCCTCGCTCTGCCTCACAGTCAGAATTTAGTTCCTGCTTCACACCGCCTCCATCTATGTGAAGGTCCGATTTTGGAGTTGAATCTTCAAATTTAACCTTCACTTCTACGCTCTTCAATGTTACTTCTTCACATTTCACTTTCGCCTCTTCATATTTCACCTTGATACCTTTCAAAGTGTCCAGGCTGGGGTTGTCTTCTGGTTTTTGTTTCATGAACAATGGGGTCATTGCAGCACTTTGACTTTCACAAGCTGATTTCAGATTACACTTCTTGTGGATTTTCTGATGCGTGTGTGTTCTCTGGTGTTTTTTAAGATTTGATGACTTTGCAAACACCTTCCCACACAGAGTGCACTTGAAAGGTTTCTCTCCTGTGTGTGTTCTCTGGTGTGATTTAAGAATTGATGACTTTGCAAACGCCTTCTCACACACACTGCACTTAAAAGGTTTCTCTCCTGTGTGTGTTCTCTGGTGTTGTTTAAGAGTAGATGAATAAAAAAATGCCTTCCCACACACACTGCACTTGAAAGGTTTATCTCCTGTGTGTGTTCTCTTGTGGGTCTGAAGATATGACGACCATGAAAATGCCTTCTCACACACAGTGCACTTGAAGGGTTTCTCTCCTGTGTGTGTTCTCTGGTGTTTTTGAAGATGTGATGACTGTGAAAACGCCTTCTCACACACAGTGCACTTGAAAGGTTTCTTTCCTGTGTGTGTTCTTTGGTGTCTTTGAAGATGTGGTGACCGTGCAAACGCCTTCTCACACACAGTGCACTTGAAAGGTTTCTTTCCTATGTGTGTTCTCTGGTGTTGTTTAAAAGTAGATGAATCAAAAAATGCCTTCCCACACACACTGCACTTGAAGGGCTTATCTCCTGTATGTGTTCTCTGGTGGGTTTGAAGATTTGATGACTTTGCAAACGCCTTCCCACACAGAGTGCACTTAAAAGGTTTCTCTCCTGTGTGTGTTCTCTGGTGTGATTTAAGAATGGATGACCGTGCAAACACCTTTTTACACACACTGCACTTAAAAGGTTTCTCTCCTGTGTGTGTTCTCTGGTGTGATTTAAGAATGGATGACCGTGCAAACACCTTTTTACACACACTGCACTTAAAAGGTTTCTCTCCTGTGTGTGTTCTCTGGTGGGTCTTAAGATTTGATGACTTTGCAAACGCCTTCCCACACAGAATGCACTTAAAAGGTTTATCTCCTGTGTGTGTTCTGTGGTGTTGTTTAAGAGTAGATGAATCTGAAAATGCCTTCCCACACACACAGCACTCTAAGGGTTTCTCTCCTGTGTGTGTTCTCTGGTGCTGTGTCAAGTTTCCAGTACGATCCGTGCTGTTTGCATGCTGGTCGCATTGTTTCCTTCTTGTACTGAACTGCGCTGAGTGCCTTTGCTCCATCAGGCCAATTCTGCAGAGCGTCAGCTGCAAACAGAAAAGCATGTCCACACCATCTATGTGAATATTGAGGCACAGAGGAATGCATATATACACAGTCACACATGACTTACACATCTATACATATTCATATTTTCATGATATAGTGAAAGAGATTCCCCAATTCATCACACGGGCTGTTAAGGCACACAATGCGAGGGCAAATGGTCATAAATATGCCTGGACACCCTAGTGTCTTCAAAATTAATGTTTACCAAAAACTCCAAGCACACAATTTCGGTGGTCTAGCTACGACAGGAATATTTAAGAAAAATTTGTTAACATAGCAAAGGCTGTTGAAAATAATACTATTTGTATTATTCAGAAATGTATAAATTAATGTTCATTTGCGACTTAGAGGTGTGAAGCCAGGCTCAGATGAGCTTGAATGCGAGGATGAACAGATTTAACTTCAGCTGCATATGTGCTGTGTTAATTTCCTGACTGTTTCCATTCTTATGAAAATTTCCAAAGCAAAACTAAAATAAACTATTATTATGATTTAACCTCCATGTTCAATCGAGTCAATATACTTGACAGCAAATACAAACTTCACATGTTCATACACTTGCATGGTAAAAAGGTGGTTAAATTTTGACTTAAAACTTTTGTGACTGCAGGAATTAATATTCTTTGGTTATTTCGGTAAAGTCACGTAGATAGAAAATAATAATACAAATAAAGTGAATAGAAGAAAAAAAAACGACTAATGTAGACTGTAGCCTGGTTCTTAACCTCGGTGAGCGCAGAGGCGTAGCTAGGATATTTTGCGCCCGGGGACGAACTATAAAATTGCCCCCCCCCCCCCCCCCCCCGTTTAATCACATTTTCCTATTACATCGAATAAGGAATAACAATTTTAATGAAACATTGTATATAAAGAAGCAAATTTATAGAAATTATATTACATGGCTCACTCAGTCAGTGTCGTAGACTGGTTGACATAGTCTACAAAAGATTATTTTTTCTTGATTTCACTGTCGCAAACTGGTCAATCACGTAATCAAAATATGTTTTTTCCAATGTTTTTCTTTCAACGCTAAGAAGAGCAAGATCGCTGAGACGATCTTGTCCCATTGAAGCACGCAAATACGACAAAATAAGTTTCAATTTGCTGAACGACCGCTCACAGCTTGCAATTGAAACTGCTACTGTTAATAAAATTTGCAGTGAAATTCGCAAATTCGGAAATATGTCGTCTCCATAAAACACAATAAAACCAAGAAGATCCAAAGGAGTTTCTGGTAGAACTTAATTCCGGTTACCGAGCAGCATTTTGCAATCTCCAAATTCTGTGAAAAGTTCGTGGCCATTGATGTCGGTGTCATAGAAATTTCCAAAATCTGTGCAATTTCGACGAATTGCATCGACATCTGTGCCAGTTCTCCCGGCATCTTCCGACGTCACCTAATTCTTCTGTCCACATCGATCCCCCAGGCTGTGCATCCTGTTTTGGCGTTTTTTACAGCAACTTGGCTCAAATCATCACGAAGCTGGACAAATTCATGCTCCAAAGATTCAAGATCAGTTGCTGCTTCCTTGAAATTCATAGTAGGACCCTGTAAGCGCTTCTGAACACGATACATTTTTCCAAGAATGACATTCCAGAAATGTAATAAAACTATGAAGTAAAAATTTAATACGCATGCCTGTAACTGTTCTGCATCACTTCTGGTTTCAGGCGTCATAGTTACGTCCTCCGACAATTTGTCTAGCAGCCCTACTAGTTCATCCATTCCTTCATAGAGAGCTTTAACAGCTTCTGATCGTGCACTCCAGCGTATTTCAGACTCCCGCTTTACTGTGATGGGCACAGCTTTTTTTAACCCTTCCCAACGAATTGTTGAACGAGAGAAAAATATATACTTTCAACTGTTCCAAAAAACGTGACGACAAGTGGATCCTGTTTAGCTGAGTGTACTCCTGCTAAGTTTAAGCTGTGGTTGTCACAGTTGACAAACAATGCTCTGTGATTTTTGTCACATATTCGTTGTTGAAGGCCGGACATATGCCCAGTCATCACAGCAGCATTGTGATAACATTGTGCCCGACAGTCGGCTAGAGGTATGTTGTCAAATTTCAGTATCTCGACGATGACTCTTTATAGGCTTGCTGCATCTTTTGCATGTATCTCGAAATAACCTAAAAAAGATTTTTTGATAGTTACTTTCTTAGTTTGAAAATCCACATCCACAAATCTTATGACCTGAGAAAATGTAATTACATGCAATGTAGGCTGTGTGTGGCGGGATATATAAACTTTTAGGTTGAGGTGTAGATTTGCGCAGCAGTTTCAGGCTGCCGCGCCCGCCGCAATAAGTGATAATGTAACGTTGTAAGCCTCATTTAGGCGCCCCTTTACCTTGGCGCCCGGGGACATATGTACCCCCCTGCCCCCCCCTAGCTACCCCTGTGGGTGAGCGTACTGGCAGTCTATAATGTAGACTGTAGCCTGGTTCTTAACCTCGGTGAGTGTATTGGCAGTCTATAATGTAGACTATTGCCTGTTTTTTGACGAGACTTTTGCAATGGACTAGACCTTGGTGATGGACACTCACAGCTTTGTACGTAAAAAAAGTCCAGGCAGCTTCCACATAGTGTTACAGAGCCTAATGAAAGAATGCTGCTAGACCAATTTGAAGTGAGACTTTGGATGCCAAACCAAAGCTGGTCGTGAACACATTAAACGGTTATAGGAGCTCCTCCACCACGTGTAGAACGACCTGATTATTCATGGAGAGCTGAGCAGGTGCAGTGCTGTATGACATTAAATTCCCAGGGAGGTGTTCTTTGGGTCTTTCGGTAAAGTCACGTCACTTAACCGAAAGACCCAAAGAATATTAATTCCTGCAGTTACGAAAGCTTTAAGTCAAGATTTTCCCAGGGAGGTGATCTTTTTGTAGAACATATGCAAGGCCCCATTTCGTCATGGAATTCTCCAGGTACAGAACACGATTCTCCAACTCAATATCATTGAGTAGCCATGACCAGATCATCAACATGCGTAACATGGTTGACCAGCAGGGGAAAATACCTTGACTATAACCAGACATTGATTAGCGTATCATTGTTACTATATCAAATGCATTTTTTTTATAGGGTCGTTGTGAGCTTCTCAAAACACAACTATTTGAAAATGCTACGTAATGTAATGCATGCGGCTAGAGGGAATTTCGGCCACAAGCCAAATTGAACAAGAAAGGGATCCGACTCCTGGTCACGCAACTTTAGATGGGCCAGCCAAAAATCATAAAAATCCTCAACGATTGTGAGAAGAGGCAGAGACATCGGAAACCAAAAACAAACCAAAACCCCAAGCCTCTTTATGGTACTATAGGCTGTAATTACACCAAGAAAGCAGAGATCTAGTTTCTGCTGAAAATCCGTACTCCTGTACTATAGCTGATGGACAAAAAATACAGCAGCCCCTTGAATAGCGCGGAGGTTACATTCTTGAAAAGTGCCGTGCGAAAGCTAAAATGCAGATATTTAACATTTAAGCCTGACCTAAATAATGGGGTTAGGTAAACGGCATATAAAATATACATTACAATTGAAATAAGTACTGTACTGTATTCCCAATAAACTAAATTACTGAAATAAATGTGGAGAAACCGTATACAAAACATTCCAAGATGAGTTTAAATGTATATAAATAAAGCAGACTTTGTGTTTTTTTGAGAACCAAATTGCGCCAACACTATGAAACAAACACACATCAAAAATTCCATGCGTACTCAAGGGAAAGTTATGTTTTTCACACAATTTTTAGCTTACCTGTTCACCATCAACACCTGTAACACCTGCACACTCCAACACCCCGCTGCTGCTATATTTTTTCTCATTTACCACATTATCCTTACATATTATCAGGCCTGCATTTTTGCCACAAAATTAATATCTTCCAGGTCCTTATTGTCCTCTCTGCACACGCACGGCTCACCTATAATATACTGTAATATTTCATCATGGAACCTTTTCCAGTACTAAAATATGAGAATAGGTTTTCCCCGTTTTTCTGGCAACAAAACAGGTGTTAAGATGTTAAAACACCAAACTGAAACCTTTAACAAGGAATCATGTGTGCATTAACCACAATACTTGTGGTCAGAATGCAAACAAAAACACTGATAGAAAATGCATGGTCTGCTGCTGAGGCAGACTGTTGTAAAAGGTTTGAAATGGGTGTAGCCCAAGGGTCATAAAGAAGTGGCCGGGGCTAGTGATGTTAATGTAATAAATTAGCATGTTAATGTGAAATCGAAGAGTGGTGCAATCCAAAGCGGCCTCCCTACAAGACAGAGAAGGAGCGAGGCTCTTCCTGGGTAAACAACAACTACCACCACGACAACAATTACCACGATGTGAACTTCTCACTTCAGATCTCCGTGAGCACGCACGAAAATAAATCATGCTTGCTAACACACAGCGCACGCCCGGGACACACTGCCGAGATCATCGATGACCTCGCCATCGAGAAAGTTCAGCAGTATCTGACAAGCACAACGGGGTGTCAGCCAGATGCGAACTGCCCATATCCCCCATTTAACATCCTTGCCGAGCACGCGCACGTGTGTGTGTGTGAGAGATTTGCTCGCGAGCGTGCGGAATTCCGACGGCTGGGACGAGATAGCACCATTGCAAGTCTTCTTCCAGAGGAGGAGGTGAGGGGGGGGGGGACGAGGGAGCCTCCGAGACCCCGTGAGACAACCCCAGGATGGGTGGCAGGGATACAGACCGGCATAGGAGATATCACAGGCCATGCGACCCAAGTACGTGAGGAGGTAACCCAAGTATGCGGGGAGGTGACCCAAGTACACCTGAATGTGACCAAGCTGCAGTCCACAGCGGAGGATAGTCCAGTCCGAGGTGGGAGGGCTACGCTCCATGGTCGGGGGGCTAACCAGGCGAGTGTCTCAATAAGAGGCAGAACTCGAACAAATGCGCACTGGGAGGGTAAGGGGGAGTGGGCAAGGGGCCTCTTATGGAGCCACCGCCCTTCCCCGTGCGTGCTATCTATGCGACCAATGGGGGCATCTCGTGAGAGACAGTCCCAAAATCGCCCGCGCGAGAGAAGCACCAGGGTTAAATACCAAGGCCTCCCTAAAGAGGGGACCACAGAGGGGTGCACTCCACGTGGTCCCAACACAAATAAACTGTCATGATAATGGTGACGAGTGACCCCCACGCAGATGCCGACAACAACACCCCAGAATGCGGCGACTGCGGGTGACTGGCTGCGGGAACTGGTGGCAGGAATAATGGGGGCCACGTCGCTCGTGGAAGGGCAGGTGAACAGGCGGCGTACCCAGATTCTGCTGGACACGGGGGGCGGTAACGTCACTCGGGAGTGCAACACACGGCAGCGTGGTCGGGGTTGAAATGGGCCGCCTACAGGCCCCGGATCGTGCGCTGCACACTGCAAGTGGAAGTGGGACTGCTGGGGAGGGTCACCCTTAAGGGTCGCCTCGGACACCAGGTGTGTAACCAGGAGTTATACGTGTCGAGCGTGTTATGCCACGAGTGTATTGCAGGTACCGACCTGGAAAAGTTGGGGCTCAACGTGCGATGCGCCACCGTGGAGGGCAGCGGGGAGCGGATTCCTTTCTTGGGACAAGAGCCGGGTTGCCCCCGCTTCGAGCCCGTGGCCGCTATCCTGGCGTCGGCCGTCACCGTCGGTATTGGTGTTCCACTGGGTTTTCCGTTTTTCTCCCAAACCTAAACTCAAAATATAGTTCGTGGTGGTCAAACAGTCCAATGCAGGACCCTCCTGAAACATAATCTTTAACTGCTAAATAAGAAATTAAATTGGAAAACCCTCAAACACAGTACACAATTTATATTTTACCAGGTGAGGCCATCTGAGCTGCATAGCTCTTTTTCAGAATCGACCTGGACACAAATGATAGCTCAACTTAGTGGGTTATACTATGGAAATGTATTGCAGCAAAATTCTCAAAATGCATGTTTCTAAATGTGGAGAAAAATCAATGCCACTACAGGGAAAGAAATAAAAATAGTAAACTGCAATTATAAATGCGTCAGGGTTGGAATCGAACCCACGCATGCAGAGTACGCTCACGGATTATTGTTTTTCCGGGTCCTTCGATTTCCCCCCCCCCACATTTAGTAACATGCATTTAGATTATTTGGCTGCTACAATCTTCCACGTGAAAAGCCATTTCGTTGAGCTATCATCTATGGCCAGGTGGCTTCTGACAAAAGATCTAACAGCTCTGAGCATTGGTTGGTAATATAAAAATTGTTTACACCATTGGAATCTCATTTTCCATTAAAAAATATAATTGTTTTTTTTTACCCTTTTATCTGGCAACAAAACTGACACCTTTTTTTACGAGGAGTCATGTTTGCATAGACCACAATACCTGAAGTCATAATGCAAACAAAAAATCATAACTCTGATAATGTATTCACTGTCCTTAAAGTAGATGGGTCCACACCCGAGACAGCTTTCCTTAGAGCCTAGTCTCACATGGCGTTGGACCAGATGACGCCAAAAGGCGCACAACTCAAAGACAATGCACCATCAGAGAGAGAGACGAGGCTCTAAGGAAAGCTGTCTCAGGTGTGGACTAATCAACTTCAAGGACAGTGCATACATTATCAGAGTTATGTTTTTTGTTTGCATTATGACTGCAGGTATTGTGGTCTATGCAAACATGATTCCTCGTAAAAAAGGAGTCAGTTTTCTTGCCAGATAAAAGGGTAAAAAAAACAATGATCATTAAAATAGTTGTTCATCGGTCTAAAGGGTGCATCAGCAAAACCAACTCGGCAGAACGCTCCTGAATTAGAGTGCTGAGACTCATTGTGGTCATGTACTCGAGTGTGCACCATGGTGGCTGGGAGATGTTAACTGCCTCTCCTGGAATACAGGAGGTGGTGGGTTCGATCCCGACCCCTCCTGTATATTTGGAATTTGCGTGTCTCTCTCTCTCTCCCCGTGGTCGCGTGGAATTTCCTCGGGTTTTCCCCTCCACATTTAGAGTCAACATCACCACGCGTTTAGAGTATTTGACCGACAGACATTTCCACACGTTGATAAGCCACTTTGTTGTGGACTGGTCGCTTCTGAAAACAAGAGCGGTATAGCAGCTTAAGTGGGCTTGGCCTGGTAGGATACAAAAAAAACTGCAGAAATAATTAAAAGAAACAAAGTTTCAAAGTAGTGAGCCAGATGAAGACAAATTAAACTTAAGCAGATAATTAAAGCAAATGCAATCAAGCGAGGGCAGGAGGCAAGGCCCCGCATGGGTAGACCCCGCGTTGTAATGTTCCAACCTGGAAATCGATTCCATACTCGCTGCTACTCAATTGATATCCCTACGAGAGAGAGACGGAGCGAGGCTCTACCTGGGTAAACAACAACAACCACAACAACCACCACGATTTCAACGTCTTACCTCGGATCTCAGTGAGCGCGCGCGCGGAGACCGGCAGCTTCCTGGTGTCTCGTGACGTCACGTGGCAGCACGAGGTGACATGACGTCATTAGCGGGGTACACCTCCCCCTCACGCCGATGAGGTAATGCAGTGGTGACGTCAGAGAGCGGGGTTAGAGTTTAAGTTCATTAAGATTCCTATGCCATTGATCCCTCTATTGAACATTGACCCTTTCGGTGCGTGAGCTCAACAACGTGAACATTGTGTGTACAAACTGTGTACAGTGCGTGTGTGTACAAACTGTGTATACAGTGTGTGTGTGTACAAACTGTGTATACAGTGTGTGTGTGTACAAACTGTGTACAGTGCGTGTGTGTACAAACTGTGTATACAGTGTGTGTGTGTGTACAAACTGTGTATACAGTGTGTGTGTGTACAAACTGTGTATACAGTGTGTGTGTGTACAAACTGTGTATACAGTGTGTGTGTACAAACTGTGTATACACTGTGTGTGTACAAACTGTGTATACAGTGCGTGTGGGGCCGTCCATAAATGACGTCACGAAACTGGGGAGGGGACGGTCAGACATTTGTGACGATGTGTGACGATGGGGGAGATAAATGTGACGTCACATCAAAATGCGGAACTTAAATAAATATAGACATGTTCTACATATTTTAACACGTAGCAGGCTTCGCGACCAATATTATTCATAATATAGGTTTTTGGGTCAGATCGCGTTATTTAAGCCAATTTGTACATGGCGAACTTTGAAACAAGAACACTTGCCTCGAGTACATTAAAACCATCCTTTTGGTTTAGATATGTTGATGACACTTTGGTCTGGCCACATGGTAAAGATGCACTTAGTGATTTTCTAAATCATCTTCTTGGTTCTTTCGGTAAAGTCACGTAGAAGGGAAGTAATAAAATAATAAAAATAAAACATAATAAAACAATTCTCACGACGTTTCGGCCACAACGCAAGCAGCCGTCCTCAGGTGAAAACCAGGTCCGTCGCGGCGACAGAGTCTGAATGAAACAGCACACGAGCTTGGAGCATATATATAAGCTGGGCGCATTGACAAAGGAATTTGCATATCAAAATTTGCATATCAAATTCCTTTGTCAATGCGCCCAGCTTATATATATGCTCCAAGCTCGTGTGCTGTTTCATTCAGACTCTGTCGCCTCCACGGACCTGGTTTTCACCTGAGGACGGCTGCTTGCGTTGTGGCCGAAACGTCGTGAGAATTGTTTTATTATGTTTTATTTTTATTATTTTATTACTTCCCTTCTACGTGACTTTACCGAAAGAACCAAGAAGATGAATCCCTGCAGTCACGAAAGCTTTAAATCGAAATTTCTAAATCATCTCAATGCACAAAACCCGGCTATCCAGTTCACCATGGAAATGGAGGTAAATAACACTCCCGTTCCTAGATATTTTGCTGGAACATGGTCTTAATGGCAAAATAACACACAGCGTTTACCGAAAGCAAACGCACACTGATGCCTATCTGAATGCAGATTCACATCATCACCCTGCTCAGAAATCCTCTCTTGTCAAAACACTCATACATCGGGCTAAAACAGTGTCAGATGGTAAGAGTCTAGTGAGAGAGATGAAACATGTTAAAGAAGCACTGACAGAATGGCTACAATAATGCTCAAATTAACAAAGCACTGAAGGCCAAATCACGAACGCAAAGCAACACTGCTGAAAGCGATAAGATTGTTCAAACAATCAAAATACCATACATCTCAGGAGTAACTGACAAATAAGCCCAAGTTTTGCAAAAACAAAACATTAAAGTGAGATTTGGTACAATTAACAAAATAAAAAAATCTGGTATCTGACACTAAAAACGAATTGCCTAAATTATCAACAGAAGGTGTATATCGGATTAATTGTTTATGTGACAGATGCTATATTGGACAGACGGGACGTAACATCAGCATAAGATTAAAAGAACACCAAAGAAACATTAAATTATCTCAAACACAACTGTCGGCAGTGACAGAGCATGCTTGGCAACAAGGACACTCAATTGATTTTGGTAACGTTGAAGTGTTGTGTAAAATTAATTATTACTGGCCAAGACTAATTAGAGAATCCATTGAAATTGAAACAGAAATAACTTCAATCGCTCTGACAGCTACAGGCTTAGTGTGGCCTGGAAGCGTATTATTATATAAATACAATTACAATTCCTTATATGGGAAAAAAATACCAATGAATAACAATTGAATGATTACCAATCTATATAATTACAATACCCTCCCCCTCTTTGCCTCGAATCATTGCACCAGATTGAATTGAATTAAATGATGACGTCACCATGATGCTGCTCTATTTACGACCAGAAGCAACAGGAGAGCTTCACCATTCTTGCCCGATGAAGCTGATTGTAATTATCAGCGAAACGTCGTATTCAAATAAAAAAAAATGCTGTTGATTCTATCTTCAGCACACCGGTGGGCTAAAAAAGTGAATTATTTTGTCCTTTGAAAAACGTGACACATTTTTTACTGTTTGGCCGTGTCGGGTGGTGGAGGGTTACGACACATTTATAAATAAGGCGATCTGACCCCAAAACCTATATTACGTTCTACTTAATTAAATATACTTTTTAATACATGTTTTCTCCTACATCAGAGAGTAGTGCCACATTAAATACGCACTGCAATAACAATAGTTTAAATTGATTTGAAGCATGTGTTTTGGGGGGGGAGGGTGGGTAGAGCTTTGTGACGTCATATTTGAGGGGGGGGGTCTGACTTTTTGTGACGTCGTGTGACGAAGGGGGGGGGGGTCAAAATCGTCCAAAATCGAGTGACGTCATTTATGGACGGCCCCTGTATACAAACTGTGTACACACACACGGTGCGCGCGCGCACACCGTGTGTGTGTACAGTTGGCACAGTAGGGGGCACAGGTGGTGCATCGGCCAGTCATCTCAGTTGAACAATGGCACCTGAGTCTGCCCTGTGACCTCCTGCCGGCGGGAGTTCGACACTTCACGTGGCCTTAACGTGCACATAGCCTGGCACAAGCGCCATGGTGACTTCACCACCACGTATTGGCGAATGGCAGTCATTGTTTTTGTTAGTGTTTGTGTATATATATGTGCAGACTGTGTGTACGCTGTATATACATTGTGTGTACACAATACGTCTACCCTGCGTATGTGTACAGTGTTTGGGTGGTCCGAATCAGTCGGGCGGCATTATCTTTTCATCAGCTCTGCAATGCTGTGTGGAAGCTACCTGGCCTGTCGCTCTGCATGAAGCTCCGGGTCTTCTCGGCAACAGTCATGCCCTCCAATCTGTAGGAATGTGAAACGTGCACCCCTCTAAATGGAACATCTGCGCTGGTTAGAAACACTGGCTGGCATGCCTCCACTCAGATTGAGGGAAGCCAAGTGGTAGCGCATTCTCGATTTATTGCAGAGGTTCAAGGTTCAAATCCGACAAGCACCCCTGGCTACTCCAGTAACATCAACCAAAATATGCACCGTCTGCTTAAAGAGTGGATGTAAAACATACTATTGTGTCATTAAAAACACATAGGTCTTTGCATGTTGGTGTCATTGTACAAATTTGGGAAATTCCAAAAATTATCCAGAAAATGCACAACTGAGATTACACATCAATTATCGCCCCTGACTGACAGACTCATGCCCACATGCAGGCTGGTGCTGGGACACCTTATGCCACACAGAGGCAGCTGCCACATAGGGGTGCTCTTCGAGTGTTTGTGATGAGATATGATACAAAACTCCGAATTGCTGAGGCAATTAAGCAAGTTTAACACGTAGGCTGTCGCGACCAACATCATCCATAAGATTTTTTTTGGGTCACGTAAATAGAAATTCGCTCTCTCTAGTCGTCTCGCCTAGCCTAAATCCCAACCCTGACCGTGTAACACCGATGGCGCTGACCGAGACAGTCAACAACTATCCGGCCGCACAATATCTAGCGAAGATGACAGCGACGACGACACGAGCACACTCACAGCACAGGCAGCGCTGAGCTCCCGCTATCAGCTGCTTTTATTGTACCCAGGGTGGCCTGGCTCCGCATTGGTCGCGCCTTTCTTCTCGAACCCTCTAGCAGGTTCCAGGGGTTTCCAGATAGGGTCTTCCATGACCCTTGCCCCAGTTCCTCCGCCCTGCCGACACACTCCGTGTATATGCTCACCGGCGTGTGTACTGTTTGTCCACCGCAGTTGCCGTTGCAACTGCAACCGGTGGACAGGCAGAGCAACCCCAACCCCGAGGAACACCACCAACACAAAAAAACTATTTACCCCAAAAAAAAACCTTGGTTGCAACACTTCCCGCGACCATACAGCACAACCGCAGCGTCTCCCGCGAACCATAACCACACAGCGCAACTGCGGCATGGGCAAGAACCCCATCAAGGAACGCATAACCGTGACGCCTCCCTTCCCCCATGAGAACCGATAACACAAGCCAAACAATATACACAACCCCCCCGAATCTCACCTTACAAGGGAGAGTCCGCCTTTACCAGAACATAGCTCACGTGAGCCGGTCCTCGACACTGGTCACCCCCGCCTTGGCAGGGTTTTGCATTCCTTGGGATTCCGAGGAATGGGAACAAAAAAACAATGGCCTAAGGGCATGGCCCGTCCCTGAAATCCTAAGTAGCATTTAATCGGATCCAGCCCCTGACACTTTGCACACGGCAGTCACGGAAAGCATCAGAGACTCGGATCCGGTGCAGCTTGGGAAAATGTTGCCGGCAGGTCAGAGTGCTACGGAGGCACTGCCGGCACCCTACTGACACCCCGGCATTCTATGGCGATGTGGCTCGGCTGACCACACCTGAAACACTTGGCCGTGGGACCCCAGGGCGGAGGGGGCTTCGCCGGTTGCCAACCCACCCGCGGGGGCCTTCTCCCGTGCGTCCCCAGGCCGCACACCACAGCCACCAAGTCCTCCTCCCGCCACGGCCAAGCCTCCACTTTGGGCCAATGCTGGCGGGCCTCGTGGCCCTGAATTTCCCGGGCCACCTTATAAACACAACCCTGATCATGTAACACCAATGGTGCTGACCGAGACAACCAACAACTATCCGGCCGTGCAATATCTTGCCAAGACGGTATTGACGAAGGCGGCGAAGATGACAGCCACGATGAGATGAGCCCACTCCCAAAACTGACAGCCCTGAGCTCCCACTCTCAGCTGCTTTTATGCTACCCAGTGTGGCTTGGCTCTGCCCTGGCCGCGCCTCCCTTCTCGAAACCACTAGCATGTTCCAGGAGCTTCCAGATGGGGTCTTCCATGACCCTTGCCCCAGTTTTTCTGCCCTGCCGACTAACCCGTGTATATGCTCACTGGCGTGTGTATTATTTGTCCACCGCAGTTGCCGTTGCTGGACAACAATCGGCGTTATTACACTACACTAGTACAGCAGACCGGTGTGTTGGAGAACAAATCGCGTAGTGGCGGGTTTCACCAAACATTGAAATTAACGCGTTCTTATTATGGGCAATTAAGCTCCAGATGAATGCAAATATTATCACAATATAGTGAATGCTTGGGAGCTTATTGGCTCTTACTCCTGGTTAGAGATCTACCCAACCCATATGTCCACAAATACTGGCTGCTCTTACTCTGCAGGTTGAACCTAGGAATTGAGTGTGCAACTTCACGTTATTTTAATTAAAGGCATGTGACAAAGGTGAATCTATTGGAGCTTCATTGTCTCAAGCTTACACATCTACCGGGTCTCCATTTGACTTTGTATTGTTTAAGAAGTCCAGCCACACCTCCACTCCCACAAACTACTGGGAGGTGCCTCGCTCTGCCTCACAGTCAGAATTCTTCTCCTGCTACACGTTGCCTCCATCGGTGTGAAGGTCCGATTTTGTAGTTGAATCTTCATTTTCACATTTTACCGTCACTTCGTCGCTCTTCACTGCCGCATCTTCACATTTCACCTACGCCTCTTCAAATTTCACCTTGATACATTTTAAAGTGTCCAAGCTGGGATTTTCTTGTAGTTCTTATCATTAAGGATGGGCGCCTGGCAGCACTTTTGACTTTCACAAGCCTCTGCTCCTTGGGGATCTTCTGATGCCTGTGTAATGGGTTCATATTAGGCGCACACACTTCTTGGGATGCAACACTCATTTCTTAATGAACACAACAGTGACTCAACAGTTACTCTTACTTTACACATAGGGTGTGACCACCGACCTACCCTAGCTAAGACACACTTCTCTCTTAGCTACTCTAGCGTGACCCAGCCAGGTGGCTGCTGGCGGTCCGCTCACCGTAGGCCTTCTCTTCTTGGCATCTTCACGAGGCATCTTCATTCTCAGCACGGGCAGCCTCGAACCCCCTGAGGCTGCTTATATGGGCCTCGGCGTGCCCGGCCTCACCCCGGCCACGCCACCCTTCGAGCACCCTCTAGAAGCCCCCCTGCTGTCCACGTGCCCCCCGAGGTCCCCCTTGGCCCCCAGCCCCCCACTCGGATTCGGTCACGTGTCCAGCACTGGCCCTGATGTCATTCCCGCCTCCAGCCGGGATGACGTTATGTGTGTGTGTAGACCCACGTGATAGTAACGCAGTGACGTCACACGTGTGCGTCTGTACACAGCAGCGACACCACAATCATTACACCTGTGTTCTCTGGTGATTTTTAAGAGCAGGTGAACCTGAAAATTCCTTCCCACACACACTGCACATGAAGGGTTTCTCCGTGTGTTCTCTGGTGGATCTGAAAAACTGATGACTGTGCAAATGTCTTTTCACAGACAGTACTTTCTTTGGTGTTCTTTTAGTCTGTGACAAAGGTGCATTTATTGGAGCTTCATTGTCTCAAGCTTACACATCTACCGGGTCTGCATTTGACTTTGTATTGTCTAAGAAGTCCACCCACACCTCCACTTCCACAAACTCCTGGGAGTTACCTCGCTCTGCCTCACAGGCAGAATTCTCCTCCTGCTTCACGTTGCCTACATCGATGTGAAGGTCCGATTTTGGAGTTGAATCTTCATCTTCACATTTTACCATCACTTCTTCACATTTCACCTCTTCAAAATCCACCTTGATACATTTCATTGCGTCCAAGCTGGAATTAAATTCAGGTTCTTTTTTCAGCAGGGATGAGCTCATTGCAGCACTTGGACTTGCACAAGCCGATTTCAGACTCCGCTCCTTGGGGATCTTCTGATGCCTGTGTGTTCTGTGGTGTCTTTGAAGATGTGATGACCGTGCAAATGCCTTCCCACACACAGTGCACTTAAAGTGTTTCTCTCCTGTGTGTGTTCTCTGGTGGTCGTGAAGAATTGATGACTCTGTAAATGCCTTCTCACACATAGTGCACTTGAAGGGTTTCTCCCCTGTGTGTGTTCTCTGGTGTCTTTGAAGATTTGATGACATTGCAAATGCCTTCTCACACATAGTGCACTTGAAGGGGTTCTCTGCTGTGTGCGTTCTCTGGTGGTCGTGAAGATTTGATAATGTTGCAAATGCGCTTCCACACACAGTACACATGAAGGGTTTCTCCCCTGTATGCGTTCTCTGGTGTGTTTTTAGATGTGATGACTCTGTAAATGGCTTCTCACACACAGTGCACTTGAAGGGTTTCTCTCCTGTGTGCGTTCTCTGGTGACTCTGAAGATTTGATGACTTTGCAAATGCCTTCTCACACATAGTGCACTTGAAGGGTTTATCTCCTGTGTGCGTTCTCTGGTGACTCTGAAGAATTGATGACGTTGCAAATGCCTTCTCACACATAGTGCACTTGAAGGGTTTATCTCCTGTTTGTGTTCTCTGGTGTTTTTTAAGATGTGATGACTCTGTAAATGCCTTCTCACATATAGTGCACTTGAAGGGTTTCTCTCCTGTGTGTGTTCTCTGGTGACTCTGAAGATTTGATGACTTTGCAAATGCCTTCTCACACATAGTGCACTTGAAGGGTTTCTCTCCTGTGTGCGTTCTCTGGTGGTTGTGAAGATCTGATGATCGTGCAAATGCCTTCTCACACACAGTGCACTTGAAGGGTTTCTCTCCTGTGTGCGTTCTCTGGTGACTCTGAAGATTTGATGACTTTGCAAATGCCTTCTCACACATAGTGCACTTGAAGGGGTTCTCTCCTGTGTGCGTTCTCTGGTGTTTTTTAAGATGTGATGATCGTGCAAATGCCTTCTCACACATAGTGCACTTGAAGGGTTTCTCGCCGGTGTGTATTCTCTGGTGACTCTGAAGAATTGATGACGTTGCAAATGCCTTCTCACACATAGTGCACTTGAAGGGTTTATCTCCTGTGTGCGTTCTCTGGTGACTCTGAAGAATTGATGACGTTGCAAATGCCTTCTCACACATAGTGCACTTGAAGGGTTTATCTCCTGTGTGTGTTCTCTGGTGTTTTTTAAGATGTGATGACTCTGTAAATGCCTTCTCACATATAGTGCACTTGAAGGGTTTCTCTCCTGTGTGCGTTCTCTGGTGACTCTGAAGATTTGATGACTTTGCAAATGCCTTATCACACATAGTGCACTTGAAGGGTTTCTCTCCTGTGTGCGTTCTCTGGTGGTTGTGAAGATCTGATGATCGTGCAAATGCCTTCTCACACACAGTGCACTTGAAGGGTTTCTCTCCTGTGTGCGTTCTCTGGTGACTCTGAAGATTTGATGACTTTGCAAATGCCTTCTCACACATAGTGCACTTGAATGGTTTCTCTCCAGTGTGTGTTCTCTGGTGTTTTTTAAGATGTGAAGACTCTGTAAATGCCTTCTCACACATAGTGCACTTGAAGGGTTTCTCTCCTGTGTGCGTTCTCTGGTGACTCTGAAGATTTGATGACTTTGCAAATGCCTTCTCACACATAGTGCACTTGAAGGGTTTCTCCCCTGTGTGCATTCTCTGGTGTGTTTTAAGATGTGATGACTCTGTAAATGCCTTCTCACACATAGTGCACTTGAAGGGTTTCTTTCCTGTGTGTGTTCTCTGGTGTGTTTTTAGATGTGATGACTCTGTAAATGCCTTCTCACACACAGTGCACTTGAAGGGTTTCTCCCCTGTGTGTGTTCTCTGGTGGCTCTGAAGATTTGATGACTGTGCAAATGCCTTCTCACACATAGTGCACTTGAAGGGTTTCTCTCCTGCGTGCGTTCTCTGGTGACTCTGAAGATATGATGACTTTGCAAATGCCTTCTCACACACAATGCACTTGAATGGTTTCTCTCCTGTGTGAGTTCTCTGGTGCTGTGTCAAACTTCCAGTACGATCCGTGCTGTTTGTATACTGGTCGCATTGTTTCCTTCTTGTGACCGAGCTGCATCGAGTCCCTTTGCTCCATCAGACCAATTCTGCAGAAGAAGAGTCAGAGGAAGCGTCAGCTGCAGACAGAAAAACACATCCACACCATCTACGTCAGTATCAAGGCACAGATGAATGCATATATACACAGTCACACATGACTTAAACATCTATACTTATTAATATTTTCATGATATAGTGAAAATAATTCCCCAATTCATCACGCGGGCTGTTAAGGCACACAATGAGAGGGCCAATGGTCATAAATATGACTGGACACCCTAGTGTCTTCAAAATGAATGTTTACCAAAAACTCCAAGCACACAATTTCGGTTGTCTAGCTACGACAGGAATATTTATTTAAGAAAAAGTAGCTAACATAGCAAAGGCTGTTGAAAAGAATATTATTTGTATTATGCAGAAATGTATAAATTAATGTTCATTTGCAACTTAGAGGTGTGAAGCCAGGCTCAGATGAGCTTGAATGCGAGGATGAACAGATCTAACTTCAGCTGCATATGTGCAGTGTTAATTTCCTGACTGTTTCCATTCTTATAAAATCTTGTTCTGTACCTGTTGAATTCCATGACGAAATGGGGCCTTGCATATGTTCTACAAAAAGATCACCTCAATGGGAAAATCTTGACTTAAAACTTGTGATAGTGGGAATTCATATTCTTTGGTTATTTCGGTAAAGTCACGTAGATAGAAAATAATAATACGAATAAAGTGAATAGAAGAAAAAAACGACTAATGTAGACTGTAGCCTGGTTCTTAACCTCGGTGAGCGTACTGACAGTCTATAATGTAGACTGTAGCCTGGTTGTTAACCTCGGTGAGTGAATTGGCAGTCTATAATGTAGACTATTGCCTGTTTTTTTGACGAGACCTTTGCAATGGACAAGACCTTTGCAATGGACTAGACCTTGGCAATGGACACTCACAGCTTTGTATGTAAAAAAGTCCAGGCAGCTTCCACATATTCTTTGGTTTTTTCGGTAAAGTCACGTATAAAAATAAAATAATAAATTAAATAATAGCATACGACGTTTCGATTGCAACACAAGCAATCATCATCAGGTATAATGAAATAGCGACATAGAATATAACCAGAAAACTATAGACAGACATATAAGCAGACAGATATCAACAAGATACATAGAGAGAGCAACCCAGGTACAGAGAGAGGTGATCGTCTCTCTGTACCTGGGTTGCTCTCTCTATGTATCTTGTTGATATCTGTCTGCTTATATGTCTGTCTATAGTTTTCTGGTTATATTCTATGTCGCTATGTCATTATACCTGATGATGATTGCTTGTGTTGCAATCGAAACGTCGTATGCTATTATTTAATTTATTATTTTATTTTTATACGTGACTTTACCGAAAAAACCAAAGAATAATTCCTGCAGTCACGAAAGCTCCAAAATTAAGAGCTTCCACATAGTGTTACAGAGCCTAATGAAAGAATGCTGCTAGACTAATTTGAAGTGAGACTTTGGATGTCAAACCAGAGCTGGTCGTGAACACATTAACGAGGTATAGAAGCTCCTCAACCATGTGTAGAACGACCTGATTATTCATGGAGAGCTGAGCAGGTGCAGTGCTGTATGACATTAAATTCCCAGGGAGGTGTTCTTTGGGTCTTTCGGTAAAGTCACATCACTTAACCGAAAGACCCAAAGAATATGAATTCCTGCAGTTACGAAAGCTTTAAGTCAAGATTTTCCCAAGGAGGTGATCTTTTTGTAGAACATATGCAAGGCCCCATTTCGTCATGGAATTCTCCAAGTACAGAACACGATTCTCCAATTTAATATCATTGAGTAGCCATGACCAGATCATCAACATGCGTAACATGGTTGACCAGCAGGGGACAATCCCTTGACTATAACCAGGCATCGATTAGCGTATCATTGTTACTGTATGAAATGAAATTTTTTATAGGGCCATTGTGAGCTTCTCAAAACACATTATTTGAAAATGCTACGTAATGTAATGCATGGGGCCAGAGAGAATTTCAGCCACAAGCCAAATTGAACAGGAAAGGGCCCTGACTCCTGGTCATGCAGCTTTAGATGGGTCTGCCTAAAATCATAAAAATACTCAACGAATGTGAACAGAGGCAGAGACATCGAAAACAAAAAAACAATCCCAAACCCCAAGCGCCTCTTTATAGTACTATAGGTCGTAATTACACCAAAAAAGCAGAGATCTAGTTCCTGCTGAAAATCCGTACTCCTGTGCTATAGCTGATGGACAGAAAATACAGCAGCCCCTTGAATAGCGCGGAGGTTACATTCTTGGAAAGTGCCGTGCGAAAGCTAAAATGCCGATATTTAACATTTAAGCCTTACCTAAATAATGGGGTTAGGTAAACGGCATATAAAATATACATCACAATTGAAATAAGTACTGTACTGTATTCCCAATAAATGAAATTACTGAAATAAATGTGGAGAAACCGTATACAAAAAATTCCAAGATGAGTATAAATGTATATAAATAAAGCAGACTTACTGTGTTTTTTTGAGAACCAAATTGCGCCAACACAATGAAGCATACACACATCAAAAATTCCATGCGTACTCAAGGGTAAGTTATTATGTTTTTCACACAATTTTTTGCTTACCTGTTCACCTTCAACACCTGTAACACCTGCACACTCCAACACCCCGCTGCTGCTATATTTTTCTCATTTACCACATTATCCTTACATATAATCAGGCCTGCATTTTTGCCACAAAATTCATTCACTTCCGGCTCCTTACTGTCCTCTCTGCACACGCACAGCTCACCTCTAATATACTGCAATATTTCATCACGGGACCTTTGCCAGTACCAAAATATGATAATAGGTTTCCCCCGTGTGGTCAGAATGCAAACAAAAACACTCTGATAGAAAATGCATGGTCTGCTGCTGAGGCAGACTGTTGTAAAAGGTTTGAAATGGGTGTAGCCCAAGGGTCATAAAGAAGTGGCCGGGGCTAGTGATGTTAATGCATGTTAATGTGAAATCGAAGAGTGGTGCAATCCAAAGCGGCTTCCCTACAAGACAGAGAAGGGTCGAGGCTCTACCTGGGTAAACAACAACTACAACATTATGGGAACCTCATTTGGCAGTAAAAATATGATAATTTGTTTTTTACCCTTCTATCTGGCAACAAAACTGACACCTTTTTACAAGGAGTCATGTTTGCATAGACCGCAATACCTGCAGTCATAATACAAACAAAAGACATAACTCTGATAATGTGCACTGTCCTTGAAGTTGATTGGTCCACACCTGAGACGGCTTTCCTTAGAGCCTAGTCTCACATGGGTTGGACCAGATGATGCCAAAAGTGCGCCAGATGACTGCGGGTGACTGGCTGCGGGAACTGGAGGCAGGAATAATGGGGGCCACGTCGCTCGTGGAAGGGCAGGTGAACAGGCGGCAAACCCGGATTCTGCTGGACACGGGGGGCGGTAACGTCACTCGTGAGTGCAACACACTGCAGCGTGGTCGGGGTTGACGTGAGCTGCCTACAGGCCCCGGATCGTGCGCTGCAAACTGAAAGTGGAAGTGGGATGGGACTGCTGGGGAGGGTCACCCTTAAGGGTCGCCTCGGACACCAGGTGTGTAACCAGGAGTTATACGTGTCGAGCGTGTTATGCCACGAGCGTATTGCAGGTACCGACCTCCTGGAAAAGTTGGGGCTCAGCGTGCAGCCCCGCCGGCGATGCGCCACCATGGAGGGCAGCGGGGAGCGGATTCCTTTCTTGGGACAAGAGCCGGGTTGCTCTCGCTTCGAGCCCGTGGCCGCTATCCTGGCGTCGGCCGTCACCGTCGGCATTGGTGTTCCACTGGGTTTTCCGTTTTTCTCCCAAACCTAAACTCAAAATATAGTTGGTGGTGGTCAAACAGTCCAATGCAGGACCCTCCTGAAACATAATCTTTAACTGCTAAGTAAGAAATTAAGGCAACTCCTATGACTAATTGGGAATGGGACGCATGGTGTTGGACCAGATGACGCCAAAAGGCGCACAACTCAAAGACAATGCACCATCAGAGAGAGAGACTAGGCTCTAAGGAAAGCTGTCTCGGGTGTAGACTAATCAACTTCAAGGACAGTGCATACATTATCAGAGTTATGTTTTTTGTTTGCATTATGACTGCAGGTATTGTGATCTATGCAAACATGACTCCTCGTAAAAAAGGAGTCAGTTTTGTTGCCAGATAAAAGGGTAAAAAAACTATTATCATAAAAATAGTTGTTCATCGGTCTAAAGAGTGCATCAGCAAAACCAACCCGGCAGAACGCTCCCGAATTAGAGTGCTGAGACTCATTGTGGCTATGTACTCGAGTGTGCACCATGGTGGCTGGGAGATGTTAACTGCCTCTCCTGGTTTACAGGAGGTGGTGGGTTCGATCGCGACCCCTCCTGTATATTTGCAGTTTGCGTGTCTCTCTCTCTCCCCGTGGTCGCGTGGATTTTCCTCCGGATCCTCAGGGTTTTCCCCTCCACATTAAGAGTCAACATCACCACGCGTTTAGAGTATTGACCGACAGACATTTCCACACGTTGATAAGCCACTTTGTTGTGGGAAGGTCGCTTCAGAAAACAAGAGCGGTATAGCAGCTGAAGTGGGCTTGACCTGGTAAGATAAAAAAAACTGTAGAAATATTTAAAAGAAACAAAGTTTCAAAGTAGTGAGCCAGATGAAGACAAATTAAACTTAAGCAGAGAATTAAAGCAAATGCAATCAGGCGAGGGCAGGAGGCAAGGCCCCGCGTGGGTAGGCCCCGCGTTGTAATGTTCCAACCTGGACATCGATTCCATCCTCGCTGCTACTCAATTGATATCCCTACGAGAGGAGCGAGGCTCTACCTGGGTAAACAACAACAACAACCACCACAACAACAACAACCACCACAACAACAACAACCACGATGTCAACTTCTCACCTCGGATCTCAGTGAGCGCGCGCGC